GGGGAGGGGAGGAGGCGGCGCAGCAGATTAATACAGATGAGGGAGATGTGGGCAGAGGGAGACGATCGACCGAACAGCAGAAACTGGACACGTGGTCAAGACGAGAGAAAGCAAGTAGCAACCGCCCAGACGGATGTATACTGCCGCATTGCGCGGAAAATGCACCTCTGTCTCTGGGGGTAATGACACCAACAAGAAAAGAAGGGAGCGTCAACAACCGGAGGACGGGCTGGGCCAATCACACGCAGCGCGGATGGACAGAAAAACGCCGGTCCAATTACTGGAGGTCGCCTCTCTTCGGGGCCGAAAGGGGGAGGAGAGGGGAGGGACGGGGGGCGGGGGAAGGAGGAGAACAAGAAGGGGGAGAAGAGAGAGGGAGAAGAGAGAGGGAGAGTGTAAGCCAAAAGGGCGGGGAAAAAACACAGAAATGAACTTCAATATTCCATTGAGGTCGAGATCCCGTCCACGGCATAGGTCCACCAAAGATGAAATAGACAGATCATAACTGAAAAGAGAGAGAGAGAGAGAGAGAGAGAGAGAGAGAGAGAGAGAGAGAGAGAGAGAGGAGTTATTTTTTCCCCCTATGCCTCCGATTGCGAGAGTCGAACCTGCGTTCTTGATTCACTTCCGCCATGTCAAGCAGGGCACACTCTCACACTGGGACTTTATCTGACTCACCTCTGGCCATAATTGCGGTCAGATACGTCCACTCCCTTTTCAATACCCGCCACATGTCAATCACTCGAGCAAGGGGTTACACGTGGCATTACACGTAGCATTACACGTGGCATTTTTTCCCCTGTCCATCTAATCAAAATCAATTCTCCAAGAAAGGCGTGGAGGTCCTTTCTCTGTCTCCCTTTCTCCTTCTCCTCCTCCTCCCTCTCCTCCTCCTCCCTCTCCTCTCCTCCTCTCTCTCCTCCCTCTTGACGGCTCTACTGTACTCAAGTGTTTGCCGCGCACGCACCCCCCAGGCACCGTCAACCCGCCCAAAAGATTTGCTTTTTTTCTTTTTTCTTTTTTTTTTCTTTTTTTTTTTTTTTTTGGAGGGGGGGGCGGGCCCCGAAAGAACTGCCGCTCTCTGTGCAGGTGGCTTACAGAAGGAGATTACAGAAAATTACAGAACGAACAAAAACGTGGGAAGGCGAACTCCCACTAGGCCTTTCTTGACTGACCTGATTGCGGTCACATACGTGAAGTACCTGCCGTAATTGTAGTTAGATTCATCCAGGAAAATGCTAGTGTGAGTACTCTCTAAACTGGCGGGAGATAGGCATAGGCAGTCGCACAGCAGGACTTCTTTTTTTTACTGATCTCTGGACGTAATTGCGGTCAGATACGTGGAATACCGGCCGTCCTTGTTGTCAGATATATCCAAAAAGTGTTCCCAGTGGTGTGTGAGTACGCTACAAGTGACCACCACCACCACTGACTGGCAGGAGATATAGGCATAGGCAATCGCCGGCCGATCCCATCAATCCTGATCGACGGTCAAGATGCAGTAACCAGCGCAGCGCCGCGCAGCGCCAACTTCTCTATCTTGCAACTCTCTCCCCCGCCGCGCCGCTCAGATCCATCCGCCCTAGACAGGACGGCGGCGGGAGAGAGGCAACAGGCGGGCCGACCTGTCCGCCTGTCCGCCTGTCCGACGCTCGAGCTGCTTGGATGAACCTTCAGCTCCCGACGCCCAGCCCGCCCAGCCCGCCCAACCGCTTGCTGACTGTGCCGGCATTATAGTTAAAAGCAAGTGCTTTTTCTTGGAGGAATCTGAACGTGTCTGCCCGTCAGATTCGGTCGCTTATAGCCACCATGGAGGTCAGTACACGCTATATTATTTATAACTGTAACTAATAAAATAATAACATAACCGTGGCGGCGGCACGAACCATAATAACAAGAAAAGACCTTCGGGACATCCGTTAAAATTGGAACGATACAGAGAAGATTATAATAATAATAATAATAATAATAATAACAAGAAAAGACGGATGGGCGGACGGACTTCCGCACAGCCCCTGCCAAGCCAGCTGTGGAGATCTGATATGATTCTGGACATCGAGTGTCCTTCTCCGCACTCTACTGCGAAGGGCATATACTTACCGCACTACCGGTAGGTAGGAATTTCTCAGCAGCTCTCTGGACGGAGTTACGGCGAGATACATACACCACGGGCTGTAATTGCGGGTCGGTGCAAGCGAAAAAGTCCTGCAGTAAAGTATGACGGAATCTTATCAGACATCTAATCCGCGCTGGCTTGCGGGGTAGGCCGCCTCGGCCGAACGGCATTCCCGCGCAAGCTGTGGCTGCCACGCGGCGCCAAAGGAAAAGAACTAGCAGGGGTGAGAATGAGAATAGAACCCCAGCTATTGCCCCCTTTTATAATGTGAAATGGAATGTCCAACCACCGCTACCTTTCTCGTATGTGGGGCCGCGGGGCCTCAAATACAGCGATAGTGCCTTGTGGGCGGAGGGGTCACTTTCCGTATCACCCGACCCGAATAAACCCATGGTCATCATAACCGTGTTGGGGCAATTATCGGCCTAGATAATACAGCGATAATGACAGTGCGTTCTACCAGGGGGGGCAGCGGGCCTCAATACAGCGATTGTGCCTTGTGGGCCGAGGAGTCACTTTCCGAATCACCCCAATAAGGGCCAGATCCCACTGGCAAGGAGGATTGGAATAAGCCTCTGAATCTGGACGTGTTTGTGGAGGGGTGCAGAAAATTGTGATAGATCTGCTTTTCTGCATCTCTGTGTGGAACACTTCCAGATTCAGCCACTTTTGCGGGTGGGATCTGGCCCTAAACCCATGGTCATTATATCTGTATTTGGGCCAATCATCGGCCTAGATATTGACTTACCGTGAGGGCACGGGTGCGCAGCCCCTAGTTCGTTTGTTTGTGGTTCGGGAAGAGTAAGGTATTGATTATGATGTATGTATGTTTTATCATGTTCGCTATACACAACTCGAAGAGTGTGTGTGTGTGTGGGGTGGCGGTTGGTGCTTTATTCACGATGTTCATGGGACGCTGGACCTAGTTTCCAGCAGGTGGCGCTCCCCATCAATAGACAGGAGAATGTATATGCGTGTGTATGTGAGTGTGTATGTGTGTATGTGTGTGTGTGTGTGTGTGTGTGTGTGTGTGGGGAGAGAGAGAGAGAGAGAGAGAGAGCGTGTGTGCATGTGCGTGTGTGTGTGTGTGTGTGTGTGTAAGAGAGAGAGAGAGAG